ATCACTTGGGTGTTTGCAAATTAAGAACGATTGATAATCGAAGGAATATACATATCGGCACCGTGTTTTAGCAAGAGGATTGCTTGGAAGATGGAAATTTGCGTAACCGTCGGTGATAACCTACATGCTCCCAAAAGGATTAACGTGCTTTGGAAACGTTCAAACCGCCTTGCTTGAAAACTGATTCTATTCTCTGCCTTCTAGAAGAATAGCTCTTATAACCAGAGTATTGCGTTATGATGCAAAAACTCTCAATTTTTTTTATCTTGTCCTTCAAATCACCGCTAGATCGCGAATTTTTAGCGATGACCTGCCTCAATAGTCTGGCAGATATTTGCAATTTTTTGATGCTATTTATTCGATACGGTCTCGTAATAGGAAGAAACAGAACAAACAAGTTTGAAATGGTCGCGTTCATGCCGGGACAAATCGTCTAGGGGTCAAATCTATTTTGGAATTTATTGACTCATTTAAAAAAGCTTCCTTATAACCATGTCGGTGAACTTATTCTAAATCGTGTCCATTGTATCGGGTATCCTTGAACCCCCCTATTTTTGTGTTATTGAGGAAGGTCAGGACAAACTTCTGTTTCACGTAGAGCAAATAATGATATATAATTAATTTTCACTTTGACGCATAAATAGATCATCGCCCACTGTTACAGATCTGCTTAAACATAGCTACTTACCAATATGCATCACTTACTTACCAATCGAACTCAAATTTTCATAAATAAATAATATTTTGAAACAACCACGGAATATGATACCTGTATATCGTAATCAATTTCACATCCTTGACCTCAGGTTTTTACTCTCGGATCGATACATAAGTATTCATCGTCAAAAAACCACTTAAAAATCAATTTCCACAAGCGACAAATATGTGTTTCATGTAAATCCAAGCTTTGTGTATTTATACACGGAAAATAAGTTCGATTAGCTCGGATTTCGACTGATTGTTTCAAAATGTACTCATGTTTTATTTACAATGTGCCAGTAGACAAAATCTAATTTTGGCAAACCACAAAGTCGGATATAATTACAAAAAAAATTAAGAGCATTGAGAATAAATTACGCGGATTTGCTTTTTGGTTAATTTAACTGATGTTTAATTTTGCCAAATTCAGTTTCAATTATTACAAATCAGCTTCTCATCGCGCTCACGATTATCATCACTCATCAATCGGTCACATACAATTGTCCCCTCGTAAATAAAACGCAGTCGACCAAATGAACTACCGCACGTCGTTATTAAGAAACAGGTTTTTGTAGATCAATTACATTGAAGAAAGGAGAATTGTTTGAAAACCTTCCACTAAATATTTTCTATTTTTTGCTAATCCCAAAGTAAAATTCTGGGATTATAATCTATCCCAATAAAACGCTGTAGGTTGTATTACGTCCCGTTTCCGCACTATTTAAGACCCATGTGTTCGTTCAATTAGTTCTAACCAAATGGAAAGCTTATTTATTGAGACTTTGTACTAAATACAACTAATATGTATTTAATGCAGAAGAGACAAGTTTATTTTCAATCGGTTATAAACATCATGCAACATTAAATTAAAAAAATTAAATTAGTTTCTAAATTAAAAAATTATATTTGCTATTGCCAAAGTGTTGGAAAATTAGTATGCGGTTAACAGTTATAGTCTTGGAAAAATGTTTGTTCTAAATCCACAAATCCGAGTCCAAAATTGTTTTAAACTCAAATATTCCAGTCGTACTTTAATGATTTAAGTCTAAGAATTAATATACATTTATTAGTGGTCATTGTTTAGATGACACATTTAACCAATTTATCAATATTACAGTCAGTTTTCATGATTTAAGCCGAATCTGCAACAATGCCTTCGAAATAATATAAAGTAAAAAATAATCTTTTTCATAAATAATAAATGGATATCTAATGTAGAACACAATTCAGTTGCCATTATTATGAATAATAAATAAAAATTCGAATTTAAAAATAGATTTTAATTTGCAAAATAATCCGACATTTATTTCAAATGAGTGGGTTGCAAATTCCATGCACGTTTTGAGATCTTATTAAAACCGATTGAGCATTCAACCGATGTTCTGTAGAATGATTTAAATAATTTTGTGGCTTTTTAATAATCGAAAAAAATAAACTCATGCGGGTATGAGTATACCTACTGGGTGTTAACGATAATAAAAATAAATCTTGCTCTAATCGCAACTGACCATGTATAAAAGATATATACGATATGTAGAACAGATAAATAAGTGACAATTAATTTAATTTGAATAGTCCGAAGCCAAATTTCTCAAAAGATTTCGGTGGATTTTGTTGATTGGAAATTTGATGGATTTTGATTCGAGAAGTGTTCGAAACGCTTAATAACTATTGAGGACAGAAAATAATGACGCTTAGATTTTGGCAGATTTCGTTTCTCTTAATACATAATGGTTTGAATTGAGCATTAAGTTGCGTTGTAATGCTTAACAGTTATTTTATTTGAGCCTTTCCAAACAGCTAGATTTTTATGATGCCTTAGGAGGTCCAGTAAGTAAAGCCGTATATAATGGATAAAGTTAAATTTTACTATTATAGTAACATAAGTACGGCTTCTCAAATATCCAAGAAACGTATTATTTTAAATAAATGATATATTTTCGTGAATTAAAGCTTTATATTTCTCATCCTGAAATTTCAATGGTCCAATAACTAATTTTACTTTAATGATAAAGAAAATTTCCGAAATTTGTTGATTTGCAAAGTTCAGTTTTATAAAAACGGATATGCTATATTTTTTCTCAAAATAAACTCATTCAAATTTTTGAAGAGAAACCAATGCAGTAGTTATATTTATAAAATTTCGCTTGCTGGTCATAAAATGTGGGTACTTTCATGTTGCCAAGTTAAAAAAAATCTATTTTTGTCTTCACAGAATAGCGGTTAAAAAATACATTTTTTCTTTTAATGCGTTATGCATGGGATTTGATTTCGGCACTTGCCAAAGTATTTTACTTCACGAAGTGGACAAGTTTTGAACTATCGAGATCTTAAATCGATAGTCACATAAATACTTGTTTTATTCCAATATACCTAATATACATTCATACGGAGTATCCTAAAAAAGCCTAGCATAGATTAGTATATACTCGTATATACAGGCAAATTCAGGCAGTTTTTCTCTTCCTCTAAGCACAATTATATCAAGTATTGTTACATAACGACGTTTTCATGACTTTGTATAACAATTATATTTAAAGACTTTGGAACTCTGGAAGTTCAATACAAACACAAGGCATTTAACTTAACTTAAACTGAGATATAGTCAGCAAAATTTTTCGAAAATAAAGTTAATCTAAAAAGCATTGGCAAACAATGACGGTTAAGTGGTGTAGTTACTAACCAACAATTATGGCTTATATTCGCAAAGGAAAGAACATCCAATGTAACCAAACATAATTTGCTGATGGTCACTTTAATTAATTACAGTCAGTTTCAACCTTTAACTTTATAACCGCGCCGAAATGATTGATGTATTTTTTCCAACATTTCGAAAATATTGTAACAGAATGATTACAAATAACAAACCCGTTAATGAGTTCGGTTAGTTATATTTGCATTATTTATATTTGGTGTAGATAAACCCGCCAATATTAATACTCCAATTATTTACCGGAAAACATTACCGAGATACGGCTGTTCTCTTGGCAACAAAGCCAATGCACCTACAATTGTTTATTTATACTAATTCTTCTATAATACCGTCTCACGTCTCGAAAAGCCTGCACAAATGTGTTTCCTTATCAACGCAGTTTATTTGCTAAAAAAGTTATTTCAAAGGCATATAGAGGATGATATGAATTATGTCACATCCAGCCTGTTTTCTTATGCATAATTAAGGGAGTTTCGTCGATATAAATACCCATTCAACTGTTACTAGGTGTAGTGTGACGTCCTTACTAAGAACAACACTGCAAGTATTGGTTGAGGTTCATTAGTTACTGTTGGGCCTACTGAACCATCATTTCATTAGATGGTCAATAGTTCAAGTACATCTGGGTTTTAATAGCGGTTTTTTGTGCTTCGCAGGTTCCAGCCTTGGGAAACTGCAACCTTTGTTGGTTCGATAAACCCGCTAAGAAAATTAGGTTTCAGCAAAAAAAAATGACCGAGTGGAAGTAGTGTTTACTTATGTGCTGCACCTATTCGAATTAATCTGAAACGATTTTTTTGTGCAACAATATGGTAAAGCGTAAGTAATGTTATTGCCGCAAATTTTAAATTAAACTCTCCCGATTAAATTTGCTGTGAATGGCGTTCAATGCAATTTGTTTTTTGCATCTTTAATTTCTAATATTTGAGCATGTTTTGGAAATAGTAGTTTAAAGCTAATAGCTCTAAAACCATAAAAACGCTTTTAACTGGTTTGGAAATTTCGTTCTGATCCTTCAGTGAGTAAATCTTTCACTCCTTGAGAATATGTTTGTTGAGTTGTTGAGAACGTATTCCGCATGAAAGAATGCCCTGAATTAGTAAAAGGATAAATTGATTCGCACGGACTATGTGTTTAAACTGTACGTGAGATGCCAGCTAGTTTTCACCACACGAAAATGTTCGAACAATTCGATTCAAATTTTTGATTTTTGAATGTATATAGATATAAAACGTTTCATGCAGAAAACCTTGTTTTCCCTCAAAATTATAGTTTAAGTGCAAGTTTCAATATTAGTGAGGCTTAAAAAGGGCATTTGGAAAACGCAAATAGGCCCTGAAATATTTCCGCTTTTCCAAAGTAAATAAATTGTCATATTGTAATGGGGATATGAAAATGTTTAAAATGTAGTCATAGTTGAAACTAATCATAAATCATTTTTGGTATTCGGGAATTTGCCTTTGGCACTTCATGGTTTGGCCTTAATATTATGTGCGAGCTTTCGAAAACTCACAACTTGAAAACGCCCCAAACGCTACTTTTACACCTCCCATTAAATGACGAAAAAATCCATAAATGTACGACTTACTTGTTGTAAACGGTTGGTAAAATTGCTGCCCAAGATGACTCTGCCTCTGGTTATGTTGATGGAGTGGCGCATTCCAAGTCAAAGCAGGATGTCTGGAAAACAAGCCTCCAACGGGCGAATGTATTGACGGTTGCAGGCGAGCTTTCAACTCATCAGTTGACGTATGTCCTGACGATGAACTGTCCACGTCCGAAACGCCTGAATCGGCTGGACTGGGCGGCAGCGAACCTTTAACGAAAAAAATAAATAAAAAACACACAAGAGACTGTCCACACTCGAAATTCCGAACGTAATTTATCCTATAATATTTTCAAATTCTAGTTCATGGAAAAAATGGTTGCGGTTATTTTCATTTTGAAGAATTACATAGAAAAATTACATCTCTGTTATGCATGTCAATTTATTGCATATTTAAGTGAATATAAATTGGTTAAAAGGGCTTAAAAAATGGCAAAGTCAAAGCAGCGGTATAAAGCAACTTCTTATCCCAAAAATTACTTGTAATTTTTCAAAAAGCTTAAAGCTGCGTTTGATTTTCGGCGCGTCAACTCGATATACTAAAAATGCAACAGCGTTGTAACTGAAACAAATTGAAAATAGAAAAAAATTAATCAAGTACAAATGTGTGAAAATAATAGGAGAATTAGAACACCGGAATGTGGCCAGAATGAAACCTGTGAAAAAAGCATGAAAAATGCTGATATCGATACTTCTGTCGGCAGAATTAAATAAATGCATCATAAATTATAAAGCCAGGAAACAACTGCAAATAATACGACAGCAAATCTGCTCGATGCCAGCAGCCTTTTTAGATTTTTAAATAGAAAGGCCATTTCGAAAGTTGATTTACAGTCGTACCTACGTGTTTTAACTCCGCCGAGCTAAACATTTCCAAAATAACCAAGCTCATTCCGCTATGAGAGCATTTCAAGTGAAAAGTCCAACGTTAATTCCAAAGCTCACATTAAAAAAAATTATCTCCTTGGCGGATGTCCCTGTTGGCTAAAGGGGCACAATTTTCGATAGCGAAAGTGATAACTTTGCTCGGAATTGAAAGCATTTGTGATAACAAAATATCTCTTACAATAAAGTGAAATGGTTGCAACACGATTTCTCAGCAGCCGAAATTCTAATCTCGTGCACTATGCAAGCATATTGAAATCTGCAAAGTTAATTTTGTTTACGACAAATGGCAATAACAAATTTGCTGGAACGATGATTGGGCAACGAAAAGTAATTTTAAAAAAGAAATCCTAAAATTTAAGAGAACATTATTTGATCAAATTTTTCTCAGTTCACATTGTTACGTTCCTTTCAATTGATAAAAGTCCCAGAGAAATTAAATTAAATAAATCCAAACACAAATGCTGTAAAAATGTGCTGTTCAAAACTTGAACCCATTCTGCGGTTGAGGATTAAGCAAAGTCAATAAAATCCGTTAAAAGTAAGATAACCTAATCCATTAAACTGGTCCCATTAGCATGCAGAACAGGCGCCTATGAACATACCGACCTCATCCCCTTTTTAGCGACGAAATAATAAATCAAAACAATCCCCCGGCGATGAATGTCTTATGCAAATTGCGAAACAAAACCTTTTGGTCGTTGGTTCTCACTACATACTGAAATACCTGGCAAGTGAATTAAGGATCGATAATACAGGGGATCGTCAAACAAAATCCAACATTTCTTCATATGACTTCATATGATGAGTTTTCCCGAGAAAAATAGTCTTTAGTTGCATACCGAAAAATGGCCAATTAAATTGCCACTCAAAACACCAAAAATGTTTGTGTATTATTGAAGATTGATCTAGCCAATCGCACAACACCGACTGAATTGTTTAATCCGTTTTAACTGGCCCTGTATATTTTAGCAACTAAATCGCCAGCAAGTCTCCAACGGTCAGCCAATATAACGACATAATCGCCAAACGTTCCATACATTCGTCCAACCAAATCTTCAACCCTTAAATCAAGTACCCTCTCAAATAAAGCAAAAGAATGCCGCGTGATTTGGAGGTGTCCGGAGGGTTTAACGATCAAACAGCAACTAACGTGCTGGTCAACTTTGGTGATGGCCCAGAAGATGACCCCTGTCCGAATAAAAAATATAAAAAAGGCATAAAGGTATGATTAATGGTTTTAAGGGCATACAGGTCAACTTGACCCTCGTATAGGCATTTTAAACCGGACATAAGGGCGCAAAGAAGAGAATCTTCCTTTTGGACAGGTTTTAAGGAAGGAAAAAATTGATAAAAGGGTGCGTTGGGTTTGTTTACGGTTGGTGCGTGAGAGAAAGGGGTCAGGGAAGTCGTATAGCGGAACTAATGACGTATCGTCGTTAGCTCGAGATTTCTTTCTGATTTGTTGCGTTTCTTTGTCTTCAAAAATACGATAAAATTCCTTCCTTGAAACGAAACTTTATATTTTAATAGAGCAGCTGAAATGCTGAAGGAGAAACAGGCTTTGTTGATGGAAGTTGTAGCTTCAGTAGCTGAAACTGCTAGAAAATTTCTGAACTGAATTTTGTACATTTTTTTACAAACTTCTTGTTGGGTATTTCGACATAAAAATTTTTGTCTTTAAAAAAGACAGAATTTCCTCACGTCTTTTATTACAGATTGATAAATAGTGCTCCTATTTCGCAATAAGAACGAATTATTTATCAAAAAGTAATCAAGAACTATCACCTAGAGGATGGAAATGAATTTTGTACAGTTATTACAAATTTTAAAAACATATCCTGTTGTAGCCCTACAACTATTTCTTTATTAGTCCAACTGTGGTACATAACCGACCATCATGCAATCTCAGTATCTTCTGCATAAAATAAATGCTAAACTCTTAGAAATATATATTTCGATTACTAGTCAAGTATTAAATAGCAAAAGGGCTGGAGGAGGCTCTTTTTGTGTGCCATCTTCAGTTCACAGAATTACCACTAATGTATCTCAAAATCTTTCGGTTTTTCCTTAACAAGTGAGCAAGAAAAATCGGCCATGTTGGTTCTGCGAATCTATTTCCCATTTTCTGTTCGTTCGTTTATTCAGTTACATTAATGATTTTTGAAACTAAAAATACACTTAGCAGTAACTTTTAGTAAATATGCTCTAGCCGTTAACAGCAGGGAGTTTGTGAATACTTTAAACATTTAAAAATATTTCTAACCTGACGAGTAGAATTGCTTTGCTCTTAGGCTAAACTACAGGTCGTCAGTTAATTTTTTTTGCCGAAACAAAGAAAAAAATGTAGTTATGTATAATCATAGACAAGAAAACAACGAAACGAAATGAAACAACGACTGGAACAGAAGCAAGCATGTTTAAAATGACGCAAAAGCAACAAATTGTTGAAGCGTTCTTGTTTAACAAAGGATTCAATGAATTAATGCTCTTCTAATTCTTACCTACAGACATAGAAATTTATTCATGGAATATCTAGGCTTTAATAGTGATTGGATGTGAAATCGCCCCATGTAATCCTGGTCAAAGTTACACTAGAAAAAAAATGCTGAACAAAACATTGTCATAAATCCATTGTTGTCGTCGGCCCTTTGGATCATTATCTCCTTAGATGCAACAAAACACTTCCATTATCCGACGAATGAAAAAAGGTGTGAAATGTATACCCTTCGGCTAGTTGTGAAAAGCTTCTTAGGCCCTAAATCCTTTGAGTACGGAAGTAGTTAGAAACAATCTTGTACCTAGGCCGATGCTGCCGTCCTACTTTAGAACGAAGAATTCTCATCTGGTGTTCTCTGTTAACATTGAGTGTTTGGGTTAGTTGTGCGTGCCGTCTCAAATACCATTCCTTTCTTCAGGTAGCATTTTGCGTGTTTACAATGTCATCAGAATAATACCAAACAGAAGCCGACAAAAAAGATTTACCGCATGATTAGAATGGAAGTGAGGGCAAATGGACCACAAGCATGTCAAACAGTATGTAATGGATTCCGAAGACCTTTTTTTCTGATGGCCAGACATAGTCACAAAGAGTGAAAGTACTTTTAAGAATATATATTTTTTCAATGCTTGTTTCGAGGATTTTGCAATCGGCCGGATTTTTTTTTAATGATTTACAAAGAAAACGTTTCTGGACAATATTGCTAGACTAGTCAGGTTTTCGGGCTTTGATGCATCGTGGAAAACTGGAATACATTTTTCGAGTTGAGCGAAACACCTCTGAGGATGCCAGCACGAAAGCGAAAGCTTCGATTTTATCGGACTTATTTTATAAACCCTGTTAGGAAAGTTTAGCAAAATGCGTTAAAATTGGGAGCATGAAAGCATCCGCCTCAATGCAGCCTGTGTTGACCAAATATTTTCTTCCTTTGAGGAACTAATGAGCCGTTAAAAGCGAATGAATAAAAATCTTCATCTGTGAAGATTGTAGAAAAATCATGAGATCCTTGTCACCAAGAAGGCCATAAGAAACATTTCATTTTCCTATCATACAGCGCCTGCAGGATAAAAGCGAACAATGTAATGTTAAGCAGGATGAAAAGAAAATAAAAGAAATTTCAAAATTATACAAATGCAAGGTCAATGTTCTGCTGCACTTGAAAATAATTATTTTAATCAATTTCAGAAACTCGCTATTTTATTAAAACAATGATTTGGTTATGATTGATATTTTTCAGTCAAGTAAATCTGTTTTAAAACATACCAGCGCGGGGCCGCATAAAAGTTTTTTCCATATTGCTTAGGGTCAAAAAAATTGTTTACAGATTTTCCAGAATATTTCAGAGAGTAAAGCTCCTATACATTTTGAAATTGGAAATAAATAAAATTGAAATTTCCAATACAAGAAATTGCGAACTCAATTGTTTTAAAGTGAGTTAAATTCCAAACTCTTTATCACTACTTACTTGACGTTCAAATGTTCAACAAGAAATTGTAAAGAAATGTAATCTAGTACTTTGATTAATTGATAAAATTTAATTGACTTCTAAAACTAGTGACTTTTCAACGGATTTTCCAGTCATTGTTATGAAATAAGCTTGAATCCGGCCTCCTGCCTGAAAACGTTTTTGATCACCACCGATAAACGGAAAACGTTCCTTCATAATTCCAAACAAAAATTGATAGCCCTTGGGTGACCATGCAAATATTATTGTCCATCTACAAATCCTCCGAAAAGAATATGCCCCTTCACTCAACATATCGGACCGTTTCCAAACCCTTTTATTACGTAAAAGGGCTAGTCCTTTGTCAGTGTAAGCAGCTGGCTATTTTCTTACTATTTACACCCCTATAAGGTTGCAAAACATACTTTTGCATAGGCCCATACACATAACACAAGCCGACGAGTTTCAATTATTCATCATATCCAAGTCGAATGCAAATCAACTCTCTAGGGTACAGTACATTTGATCACTTCAAGCAAGTGATCAACAGAGTTTTCTATCGCATTTGCTTCAAGTTCCACGAACATCGTAGGATTGCTGGAGTAGAAAAATGCGATTTTTTTGCTTTCATTCTTCTTCGGCTGTTATTCTATTGATATTTATTTCCCATTGCAAATTTAGATTTGTGGTCATCGCCCATGCTGTTTCGACTTCTTCTTCGAATTGATCACTTAGTATCACTTAACAACGTAATGGAGTTTCACGCATAAAATATCACCTCTGACTCACAACTCTCAAAGGCCTGCTGAGCAAATATCGTGCATTATTGTTCGTTGCCCAATGGCATTAAAAGAGTTAGCTGTTTTTGGGAAAACAGATTGCGAAAAGTTCAAACACGTGTTGCTGAACCCAGCTGTCGATTTTGGTTACCAAATATCGTATTATTATGTGGAATTGTGCAAAAGGGTTGCCGGTGTTGCATCGGCGGCATGGGGGTGTATTATTCAAAGGGAAACTGTTTGTGCAGAATTCAGATTTGGTTTTTAGCATGTGCAAATACATGTGCACACCCGGACCATATGACCATATTGCAATAAGAACTTAAATTTCTTTTGGATGATTGATACAGACCCAAGGTTCATGTTTCTTTACAATAAAAGTCGTTTGAAATTCTATATGTATGTACCTACATACGGATTTATTCCGATTTCTGAAACGGAAATCCAAAACAAATCAATTTTGTGCAACTGAGTTTTCCGTTATGCTGAAAAGTTACGATTTTTCCAATAGAACATCCTGTACATTTTTGCTCAAGTCAATACCTCACCAATTCCGAAAATGTGCGGAGTTAAAAGTCAAAATATCGGTGTGGGCTACTTGTTTGCACCGGTGATAGTTTGCATTTGTGTTTATTTAAAAATAATTTAAACTAGTCCACCACGTTAAGATTCGATTTATTTATTACCCATAAGAACTAGAAATATTACAAACTGAAAATGTTTGCCCAGTTGTAAATTTTTGCTGAAAACACATAAAACCAGAGCTGGTCAATAACTCGAAAACTCATTGTTATGTTGTTTTTCTCCTTGTTATCATTTTTATCGACGTACAAGCCCTAGAATTAACGCGACACCACATCTGCAAAATAAAGAAATTAGCAATAGTGCGTATGCTGTCTGATAAGCCCCGTGTTTTAAGTGCTAAAATTATTTCACAACAAACAATAATTTATTGTACTTATTTATTGATATAAAGAAGCAATATTGATGATTAAAAAGTTATGCCTTCTAACCGTTACTGCCCACTAAATCCTAAATTACAATACAAAATCGGTCACTATAAGTTTCAAGTTGAGAATATATTTTTTTATTGTGCCGTTTTGTGTTCGCCCTAATGCAAACAAAAGCCATTTTGTACGATAAAAATTACAACTCCGGAACGTGTTTCGAGTGGTATTAGCAACCACCGTTGCCTATTTTTTTTACAAAACTAGATTGCCGGACAGTGGACAGTTCAAAAATCCGTCCATCTGGTTTTCAAAAGAATTCGTAGAACCCCTTAAATAGATACCGAATGAAAAAAGTGTGGGAAAGCGGATAGCATGGATATTTTTAAAATTCCAGAGGGTTTAAATCCGGAGTGCGCGGAGGAACTTGTTTCTCTCAATTCGCTTTTTGTCACAGCCGAATGGTCATTTCGATGTAGTGGTCAGTTGGTAGCAATTTGGGAAAGGAAAGGGTGTAATCTGACACCTTGGGGTCGGGCCAAGGATATGTTTAAGGGGGTTTTCAGTTTTTTACCTAAAAAATTAACGTCTGTAACGGTCGAACATGTGACAAATCTGCATAGTGAAACTGTGACAAAACATACTGCCAAGATAACTAGTTTAAAAGTACTCACCTGTTGTGGTTGGGTAAACGGCTTTTCTTCTTGCATAGTCGCATAGGGACGGATGTTGTATATCACTTCTCTGTCTTGATAGTAGTTGGTGGAGGTAGTTGTTTTGCTCCTTATCAACTGCAACAAAATACAATTTTTACTAAATATGTACGAAAACACTGCGCCAATGTATCTGATCCGCCCTGTACAGTAGACAGAATGCGCGCAAGAGGTAATCCTACCAACCTTGACCAAATAAGCGAAACAAAAAATTCCACTTTCACTCTTCAAAAAATGATTTAACAGCACACACATACAGGGGTCATGCCAAAAAAATCACAGACTTAATGTTTTATTGTAGCTGAATGTTTGTTTCGCAATGTCGTTCCTGTCCTGGCTCTATGTTAATTGTTAACTTTTGCAAATTTTAAAAAGTTACTACCAATAAAACTCCCTAAGTAGGTTTTTACAGCTAACACTCTAAGGCAACGTAATTCCTACAGAGGTTTATTGGTGTGGGACCCTCGTACCTCGAATAATTTACCTCTAAAATTCGTGTACAAAAAAATTGCAAACGCGCCATTATGTTGGTATATTCGCAATTGACCTCAATTCGCGTTGAAGACATAATAGGTCTGGCTTACTTTTGATGTGGCTTTTGAACAATGCTTTATTTTCTAGGAGGAGACCGATTACGAGCGAGCTGAGGAGAGATTTAAGAAGCCGGTTGTGTAACAGATAATTCGCAAATTGTAAACAGGATTGGAACGGCTAATTTATTTTGGTAGACCAATTAACGTGGATATTTGCGTTTCATCTATACAATGGCTTTCACGAAATATTTACAAGAGTCACAGCTTCCTACGTTTAGGGCAATATTAACAAAATATATTGAAAATAAAAATACGAATATTAAAAGAATTGGAGACTTTTTTTAAAGTAGGTACTACAAATATTTATATTTTTGAACAAAATCTCTAGATTTGAGTAGAAACTAAAGGTTCACTGTATTTTTTATGATTTCACTGCTCTCATGAAATTTGTTAATTTATGAACGAATGAAGCATTCACATAAAATAGCGACTCCAAATCTATCATGTTACCAAACCAGTTTCCCAAAAGACTCAAAATAGCTCTTTAGAAGAAAATGATTAAAAAATTGTTCGATTCCTTGTTCATCAAATAAGTATGCAATTGAGGAAAAATAACATACAAGCAATCAAAATTTGAAATCATCAGATGAAAAGGATTTAAACTATTTTAAGACGGAAAAATATTTACTACTGTCAGGTTGATGACCCAAATATTGGCATATATGTACATGAATCGGAATTGGATAATTGAAGACACGCGTACTTTGTCTTTATCATAGTTTGCGTATATCATAAATCTTTATTTATCTTCTATAAAGTTCAAAGTTCGCATCAATCGTATAGTCAACGTATAGCAAAAATATTTTGTTTCTATGAAAATGACGTTCAGATTAATCGACTTCATTTTCCTAAAAAGTGATTACTTCATTCTTATCCAAACATTTGATTACATTTTAAAACATTTCCGCCTCTGTCGTGTTTTCGTCGATTACTTTCTCTTTTTCCATTGTGCGGGGTTTTAGTGGAAAATCGATTCGACTAGACCAGTCTGTGACCTTTTAGGTCACAGTCGCAATTTTCGGTTGTTTTGCAGTCTTTCCACGTCTATTCGGGATCGGTCTGGAGCTAAAAAATGACGTTGTTAGACGACATGAAACGTTTTAGCATATTGAAGCCAAAACATTTTCGCGTGCAGACATCATAACCATTTCGTATTTCGCTATGGGTGCTTTTCACGAATCTGTACTTGCAGATTGGAAATTAACCTTCGTTAACAAAACAAGTTGGAAGAAACACAACGGCAACATTAAAATAATATAAGAATAAATTAGCCAAGCGATTAACTGATAAAAAGATTAGTTTTCGGCAAGGGTTTTTAAGCAAGGCATTTGTTGATTTGTTCTTTGGAAATTACAATAAATTCATATGTTTTAACTTATTATAATTTAAAATCAAAATATTTCTTCTCGAAGATACGAACAATTTTGAAATGAAACAAAATACATAGACAAGGTTTCAACTTGTCTCAAAATAACTCAAAATTAAGGTTTATATAGTTCTAGAGCGGAAAATTTCCTGACATGATGTTAAACTTGATAAGACCAAAATCTCGATTAACTAACGGTTTTCAATCCTTGCGACACCATTATTTGTTATATTCTGTTGCCCAACAATGTTATTTGAATAATATAAGCAATAGATCACACGATATGCTCACACAACGTTAATTTTAATCTCTTATTTTTTCACTTCATATTAACAAATCACCAAATAATAAAATATTGCTACGGTTCAAATCCTGTATCACTGCATTTTTTGCAATTTTGCACCAATATTTTTTAGGCGCGTTAGATGACAAAAGGGTATGAATATCGTTACCATATGACCGAAATTAGGACAAAAATTGCTGTTTTAATTTTTTTTTGAAAAGTATAGATGAGTAGGTACTTAGTTGTTAATTTTGTAAGACCCAGATGACCTCTCAATTACGGAAAAATAGTTGTGCGCTTTTGACGATTCACCAGGAAAACTGCCAATTTTGAAACGAAAATAACAGAGATATTAACAAAATCCGTAAAAACAGTTCGAGTAACCCAAAAGACCAAACCGCGTATACCCAGATGTCAACTCGAGGTAGCTGTTTAAAAAACTAAAATTGTTTGCACACCGTAATATATATTAATCGATCAGTAGGCATAAAACTCAAATAAATCGTTTAGTTTTGCAGCCAATAAAATGTTTCAAGTCAGTCTTCTAACGAAGGAAATTTGATTTTCAAATTCCATATCGCCTATTTGTACATTTTCTTCAGTACTATATGTACATTTTCTTCAAAATTTTAATATGAAAAATCAAATTAAGAAAAACCGACAGCCCCAAGTGATCACAAAAATGCGTGTTGATGATTTTCAAGTAATTTTCTTATAGAATACTTTAATAGCAAACTGAATCTATCTGCTCATGGTTTATAAATGAGCTCAACCCCAACCAAATACGCGATTTATCTGAATTTTACTTTGATGACTGGTTGTTCTACCATAAAAAAAAGTTTTGCCTCATCAAAACATGAATTTGAATGTGCAACAGTAAGATGGGATAATTAGCAATAACATTAATAAACTAATGCCGTCGAAAGTAAAACTTTTTTCATTCTTTACAAATGGTAATTGGAATGATAATCGATGTTTTTGCTTGCATTGATTTTCATGCGTCATTCGTTCAACTCTTCGGTTGTGCATGACTAAAATGCTTCGCACAATTTTTCGGAATTTCTTCAAAAGAAAGGAAGCTTGCGTACACCGCGGATTTCCTGCATTGCTTGCCAACGTTTACACATTTTTATTCGTTTTTAATTATTAGGTTTAAAACAGGATATCCACCTACTTCTCAAGTGAAATCTAGCAACGAAAGTAACGCAACCAGAAAAATAAATAAATCAATAGTAAGTAACTTGTTTTGGTAAATGTCGGCCCATTGAAGTAGCATTAAATTGGCTTTCTAAAAAAGCATTAGTTACAATTAAAACTATCGGGGCATTATAATTTTTGGATTGGCTTTATCGGATTTCAAAACATCCATTATTTGTTGAATCGTTTTTGAGACACTGCCCACACGGACACGTATGGCTCCGGCCAAAAAGTTATTGTTCTCGATTTGAAATTGCAAAATCTTCTGTAAACAATACAATGTGTCGAAATTTAAATACAAGCTGCATTTGCAAAACGAAGCCAGTGAAAGTTTTTTTTCTGTCAGGATGAATAGGTTTTTTTGGGGGGCATTGGGTTTGAAAATCCTTTACATGTTATGGCATTGTTCATTTCAATATTGGGCGTGAACTCGGCGAAAACGAAAGTGAAGTGTGTAGAGCAGCATGCAAATGATGCTAATCTTTATCCTCATCAAAAATTGAATCCAATTAGACTTGTATTGTATCTTCAATCTTGAATTTGTTCTGAAAGTTTTTGTAGAGCTCAATTGATATGAAGATATCTACGAATCAAACAAGTTTTTGTGAGATTAATATTTTTTTCATGTCTGGGATTTTTCATATGATCAACAGAGGAGATAAATCTAGAATGTAAGGAATCCTCCTCTAATGATCGACATTTCCAAACGATTATTGTCATCGCAAAACTATGCGTTTTGCGTTTAAATAACAAATCATTTCCTTTAAAAGGAAGTTGATATTTCACAGACTGCCGTCGGAATTGCGAAAGTGAGTCCTACTTCAGGTTGCCGGTTCCGATCTGGGTTAAGGCCGCAGAGCTGAAAACAAATATACGGCTCGGTTATGTGTGTTACGTAACTGAATTTGTTGTAGACTCACTATATTTGCCAACGAGAATTAATTATAGACCTAGCAGATTGAATTGAACACTAAACAATGCATTTAACAAATTTGAAAAATATATATTTGGGACTTTATAAATATTATGCGCCACGTTCATCGTTAAGTTAGGGCATGAATGTGAAAATGTTCTCGTCGATACAATGTAGTTACATAGAAACTAGAAGTAAATTACCTTTGCATGGACAAAAACGACAGAAAATATTCATATTTGAAACAAATTAATAATTAAATTTTCTTATATGACTGATCTCCATCTGTTGAACATCATTGGTCAATTAAGTAACACAAAGTCACAGGGTATGTAGGTATGATTAAAGCGCGTATGCATTTTATCAGTATTCAAATCAGACAGACCATCATCACATGTTTGCGGTCTGCTTTTTGATATTCTGCAATAACATGAAAAAAAACCGTGGGGTTTCAATTTTAAAATCAAGATAAAATCGCATATAAGTAACTAATTGATGGTTTGTCGATTTAATTACTTGGTCATATTTCCTCACAATTAACACTCGTAAGATTTATAAGTAAATCTTAACCACGTTGCAACACATTATTTCAAATTTGAATAGTGTGGAAGCAATTAACGAATATTAAATCACATAGTTAATAATATGGGTTCAAAATCAACGGCACGGATTTGCTGAAGAAAGTAGGTTTTACATGTTTGACCCAAGGCGACAGTTCAATAATTA